TTAGTGGTGCTTCAAATTTAATTTGGCCTTCTTTTGTTTAAATTTGAACTTTCTGGCTAGAAATTATATCAGTGTAATTTTCTGAGGACTGTTTATGAAGTTCGGAGTCGCCCTACCAACTGAAATGACGTAACAGTTTCGAATAAGTTAAGTTGGTATGTCCTGAACGTATACTTCGTGATTTCTTTAGGCTGTATGCAGTGACGAGAAGTGGACGAAACTGTCGTGATGGTACCATTTTACTCTGCACAAACTGTTGTTCTTGGTTTATTGAGATCTCATATTAATTTGTTTATTGGGTATATATCACTCAGGTTGAAACAGTGTTATTTACAAGATGACGAAGTTCCACAAACAACTGTTTATTCCATTATTGACCCTGTAGGTTGACCCAATTAGATAAAACAATATAATTTACAAAATATCTTGCAATGACTGTGAGTGAGGTCAACTACATAGGCCAAACATATAGATCGGAGGTAGTCAGATTGCCTGTCAGAGCATAAGAATTCAGGCGGAGGTTAGATTGATTGATCCCACCCGCGAAGATAAGTTATTTAGGAAAAGGAACTCAGTACTACATTGCACTGCATGCATGCATTAGCACACAACCCCACTCAATAGGGTAGTGGGACGGAATGAAAATTCTAAAAGGTAATATAGGTGGGTGGAGAGCTCAAGAGGTTGACTATTGAATAATCCTGCCTGGTTCATCGAATAACCTACACCCAACACATGCAACAGGAATGACTCAATGCAAATACCAGAGATATGCATGAAGGATATTATTACCACCAGTCAGTCAGTCAAATCAGAGGAGGATAATAAATAATCTTAAAATTCTATTTCAATTCAAGCACATCAAAAACATTCTAACAAGTTACTTATTATGACTATGAGAAACACTCGTCTTATTTCCCATCTGATTGTAATTGATGAATAACGCTCATATTATTATTATTTCTGAATGTATATTATCCTATATTACTGATTTTTATTCAAATGTCTGATCGCATCAATTTCACTCATGTATATAAATGAAGCAAGAAAGTTTTGTGAGTATTACCTTGATATGATTATTATTATTATTATTGTATCCTTTAGTTCCTAGAGGAACATAGGGCTTCAGCTGCGCACCTCCATTGCCTTCGGTTTTCTGACAACTTTTTCACCCTGCTCCAGGTCTGTCCACATGCTTTCATCTCCTCCTCGCATGACCTCCTCCAAGTCACCCTTGGACGACCAACTCGCCGCCTCCCTTTCGGGTTCCACTCGAGCAATGGCTTGTCTAGTGATGTCACTTGATGGTTTCCTCAGCGTATGGCCAATCCATCTCCATTTCTTTCTGCCTATTTGTTTCACAATCGGTTCCTGATTGGTTCGCTCCCAGAGATCCCTGTTGCTGATCTTTTCTGGCCATCTGATCTTGAGTATTGAGCGGAGACAGCTGTTAATGAAGGTTTGTAGTTTGTTTGAAAGGCTCTTTATGACTCGCCAAGTCTCTGATCCGTATAGTAGCAGTAATAATTTGTGTCCGAAACGTGTTCATACGTAAATATTACTGTATGACACTGTGAGACTTTATCAAAATAAAATTTGTATCCATAATGGAGTTGTACTCCACCGCCACAGTGGCCAAGTTTTATCCTTATATAACAAGTGTTTATTGTTTATAATCTCGTAGCACGGAATGTAAATACACCACTTCGAAACTTTATTTACAAATGGTCTCTCTCTCTCTTTTTTTTTTAATATGTCCGAAATAGAAGAGGAATCAGTCTTATAGCATGTATTCTTAGTTGATTCGATGAGTAAATAAGGCTTCAACTATCAACTTCTCCTTCCATCCGACTACATGAAATCTTAAAACTGTCATGTTATAAGATTCGATTATGCGGTTGTGTGTGTGTGTAATTGCATGTAGTAAATACTCTAGCTGAACTATTCTCCAAACGTCTTATCTTATTAAGGTCAACTAATCTAGATTTTGTTAGGTTTTTTGTGCATAGCTAGTCAGACTGATTAGGTTCTGCTACTTTGGCTTGTGTATTTGACCTTACAATCATTCCACCAGGGTATTAGATAAACTAAATAAATAGTTTTGTTTAGTCGGCTGGGCAGGATCCTTTCGCTAACATAATTTATTTTCAAATATGCTAGTGAGGCTTGAATGCCTCTTTTATTCCTGCTTTGTTAAGAATCCTTCGTAATATGTTCTAGACGTTTCGGTCTTTGTAGGGAGGCTGTACTGATAATTTAAATACTTTATGGTTGGTTTTGTGATATGTTTGTCACATATTCCAAGTTTCAGGATTTCATCATGAACTGATATCGGTGAGATTGAACAATTGGAATACCACCTGGGTGTACTGGACAGCTTTTTTGTAAGACTGGTTTGTTCAGCAATACGCACCCACACGGTGGGATTCTAACCCAGGACCTTCTGGTTACAAGGCTAGCAAGCTCGTAGACTATTAAGCCACTGGAATCCGATCTAATGGCCACCTCATGAATTCTAACTTCTAATGAGAAGTTGTCACCGGTGGCGTACAGAAGGTTTGACGCGTGTGAAAACAAATACTCGTCAACGATGACATTAGCTAGTGATGGTGCAATATTGTGAATTGGCAGAAGTTGGAATTTATTGGCTGGTCATCATGTCCCAGTGGCGCTTGATGGTCTACGAGCTCGCTCACCTGGTAACTAGAAGATCCTGGGTTCAAACCCCGCAGTGTGGGTGGTTACTGTTGAAAAGTCCCAGGCTAGGCTGAAGAAACAGCTATCCAGTACTCTGAGCTGGTTTTCTGATGATCCTCTAACCGATGTCAGTTCATGATGAAGTCCCGAAACATCCTGACTGATTTATCGGGGTGATTATTAAGTGTCAAAGCTTCCCCCATATATCCCATTTCCTGCCGTAGAATTTCTTTGGTATTGAAATAATGGAGAAGTTTTCTAGCTCAGATGGATGATATTGAATCGCTTGTGTTCTCTGAGCTGGCCGATTTAATTGCGAAGCCTTCGTCGTCCTTCTAAAAACCTGTGCTGAAGCAATGTAGTTGTGTAAAAGGACGACGAAAGCTTCGCAATTGAATCAACCAGCTGAGAGAACACAACTAGTTCAATTTCTTCGATCCTGTTTAGTGTATCTGCTCTGTTACTTGGACATTTAACTAATCCTATTTTCACTAACATGGAGTGGGATGAATCGAAATCCAAATATCGTTAATTACTAATAATATTAGAAGTAGAGTGGTAGCTGAAGGGAATGAATTCATTAGTCGATGAGGTATGTGCTAAGCATGTCTATCTATACACAATCTTCCTCGATGCACACTATCAACTCAGAAGGTACTTGTTACAATGGTGATTAGCAGTGGAATCCAGGAAGCGTGTTTCGTGCTTTATAAGACTCGTCATGTGGATGTGTCTATGTTCCAGTCAGTGATGGTGTTCCCACTGGGATTCGAATCTATCGCTTTATAGGTGAAAGCATTACCCATTCGGCGGCCAATGATCCCCATCTCTTGCGCCATACGTACAAGTTATCACATATGTTTTTTCAGGTTAATTTTGCGTTTCCTGGCAGATTGATCATGTTGGATAGAAAGTCTACCTTTGTGTTGACATGTTGACTGTCTGGTGCAGACGCCTTGATGATGATGATGTCTTACGATTATTAACGTGGGATTATTTCATTTGATGATGACTAGAGATGGAATTCAGTACGCGCCTTTCGTCCCAATTGGGACTCATCAACTGGACGTACCTGAATTGCCAGTGAATGATGGCGATACTCATCCATCGGCATCCCACGGTGGTTGTTTGTAATGGTTGCTGTCAGTTAGTGGTCAAAGAAAATTATTCTGTGGTGGAATTATACTCTACTTACCACATAGTGCCCGGATTCGATTCTTATATTTCTATCCGTCCCTCTGTTTTTCTTTCTATCATTATTATCATTGCACAAAGCAACAAGCATGATACTTCGTGGTCACCAAGAGATGTGTCACACAAAATCTACTAGTCTGTGGGAAGGCTGGTATACTACTTAGACTCCCAGACCGAAGCAGATGTTTGTCTTAAAGTGCCACTCCACCCCCTTGAGTCTTTGACTTGTAGTCCGATCCACAAGGCAATGGAGCAACTTCAACGGCAGCTACATTCCCACAATCGACAGTGATCACAACAGGTTCATACGCTATTCATTCCTTAAGGATTGTAAAGCCTGTGTACATCATAATAGGTTTGGAATCAGAGTTTTTCAGCTCCCTTAGGTAGACCAGCATGTCCATCAATCTGGTTGGTTATCAGCGTCAGACGTTCACACTGTGTCTTTCACTTTCGTGAGGGACACCACCCCTGTAGCCGCGTGAAGGTGGTGGCATTGAACAGGTTTTACCTGACAGGGGCTATGAACAACACATGGGGTCACATGGAAACATTTCTTGAGGAAGACTAAACAAAGTCTACCCTTCCCCCTTGGCGTATATATCAGCTCGTTTATCTATTTAATCTTGTAAAAAACATTTCTCGTCAACTGAAAGCTGTCTCAAAGTCCAACAATGTACCAGTAATAAATTACGAGACTGCCGGTTTGAATCCATCCAATCATCACATCCCCACTTCACAGTAACAACAGTCAGTCAGTCAGTCAACCAAATATAGAAGCCTATATCTTAGATAGTCTCATCATCAGTAGGATCAGGACTGACGAATAGAAGGCTTCGGTTCTAAGGAGCAACAGTTAATAAATGAGCACATGACAGCTAGACAGGCGTTACTAGTCAAATCCCTAGGAAGAAACACCTAGGAATGATGAACAGCTATTTCGTCCCCCACAGGGGTGTGAACCGGGAGCCACCTTCCACTTACAAGGCGAGCTCGTTGTAGACTATCCAGCCACTGGGTGGGAACCCGGGCGAATGACCAGTGCATGAATCCAAACTTCTGCCAATTCCTGTACCAGAGCCAGTGGGACTGCGTACTGATGAGGAAACAGCTGTCCGGTACTCCACTATATCAATCAAGTCGCGATCAAACCTGTAACCCCACCACAATCAAATCCCTGGAAACCAACAGCACACATCAAAAATGAAGAAGACAGATATTGCAAAAATTACATTTTATGTTTGTTTGTCTGTCTGTATGTGTGTGTGTGTGTGTAAAGTTATATATATGAAAACAGACAGACCGTCAAACACTAGATTATTATTTCCTCATTATCAATTAAGTAAAATAAAGAGTTGAATACATAGGCCTACGTGTGTGTATGTGAGTGTGTGTGTGCGTTCGTATGAATAAAGTAGACATCATGAAGAACACAGAGACAAAACCAGCCAACCAGCCAACCAGCCAACCAACCAACTAACCTGTCCCCCTTTTGATCCTGGAGACGAATAACACAGTAATACTCAAAATGTGCTAGCTGGAACAATAAAAAAGATTAAAAACTGAAGAGCGTCGAGATGGTGCGGAAGGTAGGGAAGAAGAACTCTTCACATTCGTTTATTATCTGAGATGTATACATAAAACATAAAAAGAAGAAAAACAAGGTGACAGAGGGGGTGGGGAAAGAGAAGGTCACACTAAGTTTGAATCATATATAAATATAAATCTACATGTGTGTGTATGTGTGTGCGTGAATTTATGTACATAGTGCGTAGGCGCGTGTGTGTATCTTAGTGTTTATCAACCAATGGGGAGGGGGGCAGCAGGAAGGGGGGCTTGTCATAATCCCAATCCATATAATAAATGAAACGAATTAACTGTCTGACTAACTGCGTGCGGGGGGGGTGAGGGTAAGTAAACAGAAAAGCCTAATCACAAACACACACACACGCCTTCTACAATAACTGATGATATATATTTGTTGTGATGAGAATATACGTCATACATACATACACACACATACATAAAAACAGAAGAACTAATGGTGTCGTTAGCTGGAATTTGCCAATGCCACAGATCCCTTCATTCATTCAATCATTCATTTATATTTACAACCACGGAAAGGGGGAGAGAGAGAATTGTAACAAGACAAGGCAGCATGAAAACTATACACACTCACTATGACTTCAGCTCGATTTAAATGAAAAGAAAAATAACAAAAAAGAGACAGTGGAGATTCTTCATGAGGTCGATAGTACTACTACGACTGATGGCAGTCACAATAATGAATGTGAGAAATGAGGAGTAAAAATCGCCTCAATTAATACTACTACTAATAATAACAACAACATTATTTCCATTACTATTTTACTACTACTGATTTGTTTATAAGTAGTATGAAGGCTAATGCATAAATTTCGTTGAATAAATTTTAAAAAAATGTGAACATACGCTAGCGTTTTTCCAGTGTTGTGCTCGTAAAAAGCTACAAATGAAGGACAGGAACAAACTGACCCAAGTATACAAAACTGGATGAGTAGAAAGAGAGAGACAGAGAGGGAGGGACCCGAAAAGAGGAAAACTCTCCATTTTAGGCACATTTATGTGTGTGTGTGTGTGTGTCAGTGTGTGCGTTGTGAAACTAAAGACAATGACAGACTGAACATAAAGATAATATATACGAGAATATAAAAAAAGAAGAATACAAACGGCTGCAATGGGGTGGGGTGACAAAGGGGTCCGGGGGCCCTCTCAGATGGATAAAAAAACCATTATCAGGCAACAGTAAAACAAGAACAAGAAGGTATGAAATAATAAGTAATATAAAACAACCCCCCACCCCCAAAAAACAAACATTAAAAGATCATATTATGGATGGTAAGAAAGGATACTGAAATACTGAAAGATAGATAGATAGATAGATAGACGATGTATCGATCGATTGATCAATCAAACTGGCATTACTCATACTCATACTATTACTACTCCTCCAATTCAGAGGTGCGATATATATTGATTGAATGAAAACAGACTTCTTTATCTGTGCATACGATTACTGGAAGGTTGTCGTCTTCTGGGTAGATCTGCAAGCAAATAAATAATAAAACAAGAAAAAAACGTAACAAGATAGAAAAAAACGATTTAGATTCTTTGATGAATACAAATAACTAACGTCCTATTCAGGCTATACAGTTTATATAAATTGAAGACCTACCATGCGCCAACTTGAAAAAAAGGGGCTCGTCAACACTATCCAGCCTGGCTAGGTGAAAGGAGAACAAAAACGTGTGTATATAGTTCAGTGACAGAACATCTATCTGATCAACTCAGGACATTCAGTGCCATTCGAAAAATCCTTCAAAATAATATACAAGATTCGATCAAACCTATCAAAAGCGAGTAAAATTAAGACATCTGGGCGCAGCCAAAGCACTAGCCATTCAAAAACTTAAATCCACGCTATGTATCCAAAAGAAATACGTCCAACTCTTGTCCTTGCCATAGTCATCATAAACAGGTGATTCTTTTCATAGTGACTATCCCATTGACTTTCTTATCCAAACTTCCAGTTTATTCATGTTATTTACTACACTAGCATATTTTCATATCCGAACTTGCTGTCTATTTTGTCATTTTATTATTTTTACATTTCTAACCCCTAACTGTATAATATGTCAATCTTCTCAATAATTATGATGCTACCTTGTTTGGGAGTTTTATCCGTCCTCCATCCCTGTGTTTACTATGGCATTTGAATTCCTGACTGTAATTTTTGTTAATTTGACCCTTGACCGGAAATTATTCTGGAACTTTCTTCTCACCCACCCATTTGTTTATTTTTTTTTGATTTACAGCTTGATTCCACACTGTATTTTTGGTACAAGTATGGAATTTTCAGCATGGATATCGGTAGCCCAAATTTCGCAGGCCGACCATAGATATCAAGGTGTGCGTCGGCGTGGGCTCGAACCCCGGACCATGTGCATGGTCGGCGAGAGTCCTAACCACTGTGCCACCGACGTACAAGTTATCACGAGTGTACAATCTAGTTGACCGTGACTTCATCCCTATGCGATCAAATGTATATTTTCCATAAATTGAGTTCATGTGTGAAAAACAATTTGACAAGGTTAAACAAAAATAGCGTCCTAAGGAATACTACTAAAGCACGAGTGACCATTGGAGCCCAACCAATCATAAAAATAAAGTGACTTTTACACAAAACAATGACGTTTATTTACAAAAAACAAAATGTATACAAAAACACATTAAACAGAGTATCTTTTTCTGACATGATTTTTGAAAATACGTCCCAGTTATAAAAAGAAGAGTATCAGTTGCTAAGTTAGACCAGTTTCTATCCATGTGTGTGTGTCATTCACCAAAGTGACTTAAGGTGAGCTTGTTTTATGATCCATTTACCGCTCTTCTCCTGTTTTGCAGTCAATCTTCTCCCAGAAGTCCTCCTCGGTTGAATTACTAATGGTTTCCAGTAAGAGAATCGACGATAACTACTTACTGGCAAAAATGTGGATGATAAAATTAAAATAAAAATAAATAGTAATATCCTAACTCTAATACCTACCACCACCTTAACTCTAATCCCAATCCTAGAGAGCTGTTAACACACACATTATCCAAACAGTGCTTAAAAATGTGATGATCTGGGTGAAATTTCCTCCTTAGTTGGTGGAAAGCGTTCATATTTGTGTTGTAGTAATGATAGGTATCCTTTAGCCATGAGACTAGCATGCGTGAACGCAAGGTCATTGGAGCATTCGCGTTCTTTGGGATTTTTTAAAATATTTTTATTCCTTTACATTTCCCAGCTGGAATATGGGACTTCAAACTAGAAGAACTTGAAGTTTCAATGGCAGTAGTGGTTGTTTTATTTTTACGGGATGGGGTTTTGTTAGCCTCACGCCCAACCTTCCCCCTCGTTACCAGTTTTATTACTGGATTAGCGAAGTAAAGGAGTGTGACAGTTGTCGGAGATCGAACTCTGAACCATCTGAGCAGTCGGCGAGCATTCTACCACTACTGTGCCACCGTCCTTCTCTATGGCTCTGAAACATGGCCAATATGAGTTGAAGACATGAAAAGGTTGACTGCTTTCGATCATAGATGTCTGCGATCTCTGTCTCACGTTAGGTGGTTTCACAAGGTAAGTAATGTTGACGTTAGGCGTAGAGTGTTGGGCAAACAGGGAAAATCAATCGACGAGGCTATAAAGTTACATAGACTGAGATGGCTAGGTCACGTGCTGCGCATGCCTAACCATCGCTCCCCCGACGGTCATTACTAGCTGATATAGGTGCAGGTTGGAAAAGAGTAAGTGGTGGCCAAACAAAAACATGGCCTCATCAATCCATGAAATCCTTGACAGTTAAACTGAGTCAGGTAGGTAGGGAGATGCAGACTTCGTGACTGGTTGGGGCCCTCGGGACTCTAGGAATTAATGGCTGGAAACAATAGGTGACATGGCTCAAAATCGTTGTCAATGGCTAGCGCAGATGTATTCAGTCTCTGTAATCTTTCATATTCCTTTCTACCATTACCCATTCTGTTTCACTCTTATGCTTGTCAGACTGTATTGATTCTCTTCACTCATCTTCTTGTCTACCTCTGTGTGCTATTTGGAACGTGGCAACTCGAACTGCTGCACTTCGGTGCCAAGTTCTATGTTGAATCCAGACAGACAGAGACAGACTGTGCCACCGACGCACGTCCCTTGGGATGCAATTCTTTAGCTTCACCGACAAGTTCACATTCTGAGGACGCCGCCGTTAAGTAATATCACACGACAACCAAGCCTCCAAGCAACCCCCCCTCGAGTGAAACACACGAATGGGAAGCGAGTGTTCCACGAGTTGGATACCACTTCAAAGGTGTGACATGGATGAGATGAAATCATGTGCGCAATCACGGAGTCACTAGTCAGCTGTAAAAAAAAGACTGCAGGGAACGAAGTGAGATAAAGATGTGCTGTTGAAGCGTTTATTTTCCACTAGGAACCCAAGGGAACAATAATAATACATACATATATAATGCATTAATTACATAAGGGTTGTTTATTTTCGTAACAAGGAATCATAATATCAAACAATAATGACTTATTAATTAGAACACACGGCATGTGTCAGTGGCTGAGTGGTAGAATGCTAGCCAGCCCCATGCTTGTGGTTCAGGGTTTTGATCCCCGGCAACTGACGCACTCCTGACCCTCACTAAGCCGGTAATAAGACCGGTAAAGAGGGGGGGGAGGTTAGGCATGCGGCTAGCAACCCTACCCCGTAAAAACAAACACCACTGCTACTAGAACTTCAAGACTGTAACTTGAAGCCATTGGGGAATGTAAAGGAACAGACGCCTTCTAATTAGGGTGTCTCAAGGCTAAACACCCCGGTGACCCCCCCCCTCCTTCCTACGAATAGTCTACACTTCATTCTGGGCAACTCAATACTCTTAGCCTTGGAAATTAGGAACGCTTGTATCAGTATGCGTTATATAGAAGCATTCAAAACCATGGCGTAGTGCATATAACTAACTGCTTCGGCCTAGTTTCGAACTCTTTTCACAGTAGTGTGTGTACAACAACACCAAAGGAGTCTAACAAACAGGCATCGAATCAAACAATAATGACTTATTTAGCTAGAATACTTGACTTCTAAATTTACTCTGTGTGTGTGTGTGTGTCTTACAAGATTAAACAACCGCATAAATCAAATTGACAATATATGCCGTTTACACTGTCCCAAAGGGTTGAAACCTCATCACAATTTCCATTGGGTACCAATTCATCTTGTTTCATCGGTAGTACATAAGTTTTATGCACTGTAGAGCAAGATTTCATCTCTTCGAATTGTATATAAATTGTCAATATGATTTATGCTGTTGTCAACCAGTTCGTTTAAGTAGTTAGCAAAAAATCGAGCGGTTTGAACGGATTCGGATGGCTCTCTTTGAGCTGAGTCGAAACCGGATACACACCATTGATGAACTCGACTCGAAAGTAGAGAGAAACAGTAGTCAAAGAGTGCTTAGATCACTTCGATGATCCGACTGGCTGGCTGGCTGGTTAGCTACCAAGCGCTACTGGTTGGTGATATGAGAGTGGTATACACAACTACTCGTCCCGATTAATCAGTAGTATGTAGAGTTAAACAATCTTTCCCAATAGTCTACTTCATTCTGGGTAAGTGAATAATGTAATAGTATCCATAGGAATGATAAACTACTCTATTGAATTAGTTTCTACATTTTTACAAATGGGGATGTGTCGTCGTCATCATCAAGTTGAAATGAGTTACAGAAGAAATAAAAACATTATGGAGTACTACTACAGGGTAACTGTTTCACAGCCTAGTCTCGAACTCCACACACAACAGTCTCTAAAAAAAAGAAACCTACCATTTGAATGAACCCTATGCCTTACCCAAGACCACTCAACGAGCCTAATTAAGGTCCAGGCGGCGGGGGGGGGAAGTTGGGTCCTCAGTGAAATCATGCAAGCGCACTACTGAAAGGGTCTCCCCCACACCAGGTGGAAACAGTCGTCGTTCAGTGTTCTCTAGTTCTCAGTGATTCTTCTTTGATAGATGGAATTTCAACTTGAAACTAATCATATCCTTACAAATTCATACATATTCATAATTTTATGCTTAATGTCATATACAAACTCGAAGACTTGCAGGCGAAAAGCAACCAACTGGATGAAGAAACAACCAGAGAAGACAGGAACTCCAAGGGGACACATAAAGAAGACGGAAGTAGGTGATGAAGATGCCAAACCAACCAACCAACCAACCAACCAACCAACAGCAATAACACCATTAACGGGAGAGATTTAAAGGAGGTTACTTCCTTCACCTATCTGGATAGGAAGCACCATTTCAACCACAGGTAGGTGGAACGGATCAAGATGTCGAAGTCGGAAAGGCAAGGATATGCCTTCAGCAATCTGAAATCAGTATGGAAATCTTCTGATGTCACTCAGACAGCATAAACAAAAGGATTCGGATTCTGTTCAACACAAATATATGAAGTCAACCACTTCTTATATTATACGGGTCGGAAACTTGGCCAGCGTGTCACGAAAAAAAGGATTTTCAACAGGCCAAAAAAGACTTTTATATCAACAGCTGCCACCTTCACTGCCTGGCTCCATACTGAAGATCAAATGGTCAGATAGAAAAGAATTAGTAACAAGAAACTGTAGGGAAAAAAAAACCCAACAACTGAGAGCCGATCGGTCAACAAATATGCAGGGGAAAATGAAGATAGATCGGGTAAACATTGAGGAGGCGATATAATTGAAATCACGCGCCAGCCAGGACATTGCTTGAGTGGAATCCCAACGGGAAGCGACGAATGGGGTCGTCGGTGCGAGGGTGACATGGAACAGAGAGGTGTGGGGATGAAGAGATGAGAAGACACCATGGGGAATCGTGGACTCAGATGACGAGGAGAGCAGAAAATTGAACAAAGTGGAGATGTGTTGTTGAAGTCCTATCATCTTCCACTCGGAATCCGTGATCCCGTCTGGAAATAAGATAAATTACTATGCGCTAAAAAAGTTATTCTAAAATAATTCATAGAGAATAAGCAAGTAGACATAACACACACACACACACCATAAACGTGTATCAATTGAAGTTATGCATACAGAAACAGCGAAAAATGCCTCAATATGTGTTACAAAAACGAATTGTAAAATAGCATGAAAAACAAGCGTACAAAATAAACCAAGTATGCAAGTATTATGTACTCGTCGCCAAATTATTGTTATGTACTGGTCGAGAATTTAATAGTCCTGACGCAAGAAAGACGGAAATCAGAAGACCACTACTAGGTTTGCGTTGATACTTCTATTTTCCAAACACAAGAAGAATCAAAATGTCACACAGGAGTGTGAGAGCAAAAATATATATGAATGTCCGAACAAGTGTGTGAACACAAGTGTGTGAGCGAATATTCAAAATGAACAAATCAATAGACAGTCTTAACATGATTGGCTAATTATAATGGAATATCGATCCATATATACCTAGCAAATATAACAGACATGTCAAACAAACACATATTATATATAACATAAGGGGAATATACATTGTTAAAGGAGACAGGTTCATCAAAGTGAAATGGTCACAGACTAAGAGAGCAACAGAAAGAGAGACTACCATATATATATATATATGGATACATATCAGAAAGATTTCAAGTTACATTAAGGATTGACATCAGGGGTAACAGAGGATCACCGAAAAGCAGCTCAGAGTACTGGATAGCTGTTTCGTCCTAGTTAGGGACTCTTCAGAGGTATGTGCTTACTAGTGATTACAGGATGCGGTTGCCTTAAATCCTACTGAGAATTCGTAATCAATGGAGTCCACCAAGTCGGATGGGCAGACATTTGCCCTCGATGACGGTGGCTAGTGGTAGCAACATCAATGGGAATTATAGAGTTAATCGGCCCTTAGATTTCATCCCAGTGATTCTCTAAATGATGTTAATCTGAGATTTAACTTCAAAAACCAATCAAATCTCTGCAAATCAACACCTAAGATATATTGAAGATTTGAACAAAAGAAAGAAGAATGAGTGTTAATCAGCGTCATTAAGATAAATACAGAGATTCTTAACAGTCTAGTAGTTCTATTACTCGCATTACAGTTTTGAACTTCGGACCTAACTAAGTCTCGATGTTCTCTTCAGTGTTAATTCATAAATTTAAGAAGTGTTATGTAAGCTAAACAAACAGGCTTTCCTAGAAACAGCAATGGCTAAGTGAAAATGGGAACAGATGGATTACAGGTGGTCAGAGAATCAACCATATAATCAATCCATGAATCTGTTCCATTATAGCCAGATAGGCAGATTGAGGTTATGTGGTTGAGTGTTTACACAATGCTAAGCATCAGTAGTGAAAGACTCTTAGTGAATTAGGTCATTATTTGCCCAATATAAAGTATTGGCTTTCTTTTCATGATATAATATGGACAGTAAGTAATATTGAGGTTATAGGGGGAGAGTGTGTCGGGGGTAAAGAGGGTGAGTTAATTGATGTAACAAATGCAAAGCCATTGTCTTCTTTATTGTGAGCAATGCTGGCTAACATAGGAATAGGTTGGAAAAGACTGTTGCCAGTGGTTAAATCAAAATACAGCACATATAGGGGGATATATATATTTAGACTGCATAGCTGGGGTCCTCAATGACGCTCAGAATCAATGGTTACAGAGACTATTTGTTGATAACACAGGTCATATATATTACAAGAAAATGTTTGAACTATGTGTGGTCACAGTAATACTTATCTATTGAACTAAAAAGCATATTGCATGCTTTTGTTTAAAGGATTAGTGAATGTCTTCAATTTCTTGTTCAAACGCAGATGAATACACTGTGATCTTGACATCATGACAAAAATGAGGTATGTGTATCATTACTAACACACACACACACACACACACACACACACACACACACACACACGCAATAACTTTTACTACTGATAAGTAAGATACGAGGAAATAGCCTCAGAAAGAAAAAATACAACGATAATTATCGCGTTGCAGCTCACTCACTCACTCACTCACTCACTCACTCACTCACTCACTCACTCACTCACTCACTCACTCACTCACTCACTCACTCACTCACTCACTCACTCACTCACTCACTCACTCACTCACTCACTCACTCACTCACTCACTCACTCACTCACTCACTCACTCACTCACTCACTCACTCACTCACTCACTCACTCACTCACTCACTCACTCACTCACTCACTCACTCACTCACTCACTCACTCACTCACTCACTCACTCACTCACTCACTCACTCACTCACTCACTCACTCACTCACTCACTCACTCACTCACTCACTCACTCACTCACTCACTCACTCACTCACTCACTCACTCACTCACTCACTCACTCACTCACTCACTCACTCACTCACTCACTCACTCACTCACTCACTCACTCACTCACTCACTCACTCACTCACTCACTCACTCACTCACTCACTCACTCACTCACTCACTCACTCACTCACTCACTCACTCACTCACTCACTCACTCACTCACTCACTCACTCACTCACTCACTCACTCACTCACTCACTCACTCACTCACTCACTCACTCACTCACTCACTCACTCACTCACTCACTCACTCACTCACTCACTCACTCACTCACTCACTCACTCACTCACTCACTCACTCACTCACTCACTCACTCACTCACTCACTCACTCACTCACTCACTCACTCACTCACTCACTCACTCACTCACTCACTCACTCACTCACTCACTCACTCACTCACTCACTCACTCACTCACTCACTCACTCACTCACTCACTCACTCACTCACTCACTCACTCACTCACTCACTCACTCACTCACTCACTCACTCACTCACTCACTCACTCACTCACTCACTCACTCACTCACTCACTCACTCACTCACTCACTCACTCACTCACTCACTCACTCACTCACTCACTCACTCACTCACTCACTCACTCACTCACTCACTCACTCACTCACTGAATCCCACTAAATATATAATTAACTAGTCGAACGAATATCTAACTAGTTGAAAATTCATCTGAACTGAATAACAGCGTAAGTCTATGATCTATATCATAATTCAAAAAATGAGAGCTGATTATGATAATAAAAACAAGAAACACAATACACAATGCTAAACAATGAAGTGAACAAACAAAATGATACAAAGAAAATTCGATGGTGATGAATTCACACGCACAAATACACACATACAGACAATATATATATATATATATATTTACATATGCGTAAGTGTATATGCTTGCACACGCACGTAGACATACATAAAGCCATGCAAATACATAAAATAAAGTACATGATGAATAAGCGCCACATCACGCCACGCCTGCGCTAAGCAAACTTTGATGATCACAAATATAAACACAATGACATATTACAACATATATACATATATAGGCTAAACAACATCATCAATATTAGCAATGTTATAATAAAGGCGAGAAAGTTACAGAGCACATGAGAGAGCGCATAGGAACGCGGACGGGCGGGGACACACACATACACATACAAACTTGTTAGATTATGACAACAGTAAAATAGCGACAACAACAGATTTTGACGGAGAAGAATACAAACCACCAACCTGCCTAAATGTTTTTGACCTAGAAATTCAAATGCATATACGTACATACAATGCATACATACACACGTACATAGATAGATTGAAGACAGAAAAATAACAAAAAAAAGTGATAGTTATTCTATCGAATAAACAACAAACTACCATCACCAAGTTATTCGTCAGGTAAGAGGATGGTTATTTGCGCTCGTGTGTGTGTAACATTGGCTGGAGTTTGCGCTAAATAAAATAAATATATATGCGACGAAATGACAGAAGTTGGAATTCATGTACTGGACATTGAGTCGGAGATCTCAGTGGCTTAATAGTCTATGAGCTCGCTCTCCTCGTAACCAGAAGGTCCTGGGTTTGAACCCCGCATAGTGTGGGTGCCTACTGCCAATGATTCCCAAACTAGGATGACGAAACAGCTGTCCAGTACTCCCTAACTGGTTTTCAATGGTTCAGTAACTGATATCGATCAATGGTCAAACTCGTAAAAACAAATCTAATCCTTCCTTACAAACCAAGCCTTGAAAAATGCTTCTATTTAGATCAGAGACTGTGGGCATCACAGAAAGCATTTCGAAACATGCTGAAGACTTTCATCAACCGCTGTGTCTTCGCTCTATAACATCAGATGGTTGGAAAGGAATTAACAACTAGGGATTTTGACGATAAGACAACCAAAGAACCAACAAATGTGCTGAGGGAAATAGACAGAGAGAGTAGACCGTTGTTGGGTGATATTACGCGTCATACCCTTGAGTAGAATCAACCCGATGGGAAACGACAACTTGGGGGGGGTTAGGGAGTGTGACATGGAGGAGGGTGATCATGAAGCCAACTAAAACGGATCATAGAGAACAGGATGAAGTGGAGATGTGTTGTTGAAGCCCATCTTCCACTGGGAAGGCAGATAACGAGTGATGAACATTCATCCAATTGTTCCACTAGTTTAACTCCAATTTGATTATATAATCAGATCGATGACAGGACCAATATCAATAGAATTGGATACAATCGTAAGGACATTGACGAGAACAACTGCCGATCACAGTGCAGGTGGTCATCACCACCTATGAAGAATCTAACCCCCACCCCCACTCACCCAAATCTCACTTCATATTGAAGAAAGTATTGAAAACTTTATTCAGGAAGACAATGGAAGCTTCCCCCAGTTGTGCCAACCAGCTAGCTAAGGAACACAACAACAAAATCTTCTCTTCACTATTATACAAAAAAGAGTCATCGAGTAGTCAATAACCCAAGGGAGGCTGATTTCAATCCTTCAGCGACTGAGACTTACACTTTATCTCCAGTTCTCATCCACTACACACACACACACACATCAATGGTAGTCCATCCATTCATTCAAGACTATGTCAGATAGCCTTACTATTAATATCTAATGAGTCAGACTGTTAGATTATCGTCAACTAGTCGACACCAATTGAATATAGTTTGAACAAGCCGGTTAGACAAACACCAAACGAAAAGAGAAAACAAACTAAAATTTTTGGTGTTTATATTTACCAATCATCAACGATTAGTAAGGTTAACAGAGATTTGATCAATTTCAAGTTCGAACATAGACTGACGCCAGTTAGAGAAGTGTTGGAAACCTAGAAGTAGTGGATGACTGTTTCGACCTGATTTCGAACTCTTCAGCATTAACAACCCATGGCATGATCCCGCCCAAAAGGTATCAAAACCCAGGACCTTCACGTTACGAGGCGAGTCCGCTGGTCATTCCAACGCTAGAACGAAATTCAACCACCCGGGAATTCCAACTTCCATCGTTTTGCCACCGCTAGCTGGTGTCTTAACACACCCAATTTGGTGGACCCAACTGGCGGTATGGTGTTATAGATCATGGATTGATAGAAGTTGGAATTCATAGACCACTAGGTTCCACCATACCAGTGAGTGACTGAGTGGATAGTCGGCTCACTTCATATCCTGAAAGGCACAGGTTCGATACTTTTTGGCTGGGATCATAGAAGAGTACTGCTGAAGAGTTCCGAACTAGGGTGGAGACAGCTGTCCAGTATTTCCTGCTGGTTTTCAACGGTTCTCTAAATGATGTCAACCTGTGTGTGATCTAAATTGAATTCACTATTCATCGAAATGACGACAAGACTGTAGTAAGTCAAAGAATTGACTAAACTTTTTGATTGGATGGAGGATTCCATCATGGGTTGACATCAGTTAGAGAACCATTGGGAAACCACCTGAGAGTACTGGACAGCCAGCCATTCCGTCAGCCTAGTTTGGGACTCTTCATCAGTACGCACCCACACTGTGCGAAGTTCGAACCCAGGACCTTCTGGTTACAAGGCTAGCGAGCTCGTAGACCATTGAGCCAATGGGACTCGATCCAATGGCCAGCTCATGAATTCTAACTTCTTTCAATTCACGACATAGCACGACCATTTCGCAATGTCTTCTGCTTCAATGAGTTACTGCCTCATCTTCCACCTGCTGTATCCTACTGGTCACGGCTTCCTACTAGAACCCCAGGTCACTGCCTGAACAGGGCCAGTCACTAGTGAGCATCAGATTAATTTTCAAGTATTGGTTTTGTAGAAGCTACTTTACAAATAGCAATAATCGGATTGGGTCTACGAGCTCGCTAGCCTTGTAACCAGAAGGACCTGGGTTCGAACTCCACACAGTGTGGGTGCGTACTGATGAAGAGTCTCAAACTAGACTGACGAAACAGCTGGCTGTCCAGTACTCCCAGGTGGTTTCCCAATGGTTCTCTAACTGATGTCAACCCATGATGAAATCCCCCATCCAAAACCAATACTTGAAAATTAAACATTTTGAACGGTGGCCAGTTTCATAGAGCTCAGAGTTACCACCCAGAACGAACCTATCGTGCACTAGGGGCTTTGCAATCACACAATTCTTGTGTGAGGACTTATGATACAGTCTCGCTGCCTAGGTGTCTAGGTAATAATAATAATACTAATACAGTTACTACTATAACAATGCGCGTCAACGACGCCGCAATTCGTCTGGAGTTCGATTCCCGACCAGCAACACACTCCTAGACCTCACCTAGTCGGCGATTAGTAAAGTCCGCTGTGTACAGAAGGCAGGTTGGGAGTGAGGCTATCAACCTAACCCTGTAAGAAAACAACATAACGACACACACACACACACTACTGTTAATGATGAAGCTTTAAAGCTCAAAGCTTGAGGTTCTCGATGTTCTACCCTCCCTTGGAAGGAATAAGAATAAAAATAAAGTAATAACAGTATATATGCATACACTATTAAAACAGCAATAAAAATAAATAAATCTATATACAGAACATACGTGGTTCAACAGAATTCAAATCATTAACAATTGGGCGAATAATACTGATGCCAGGACTAGCGGATGAAGCTCTAAAATTGCCATGATTACAATTCGATGCTGCTGCAGCTGTTGCTGCCGCTGATGATGATGATGATGACAGTGTAGCCATTGTTCTTTGTGGGGGTGGTGGTTGTGGTTGGGACTGACCATTCATTGGACAATGACCTGTAGGACGTGAATGTGATTGAGCGGAAATAATTTTCAACGAGCCTTGATTACTTCCTTGTCGTGTCATGGATAAAACCTGTTTATTAAAAGAAAGCAAAATAAGAATATCAGTGAGATAAGTTCAACCTCTGGCGTAGAGGTGATATTCACCGGCTATTGATTAAAAAAAGTCGTGTGTACTGCCCAGTAGTTTTCTCTGTCCTTCTTTTACGCCGTCTCTGGCGTAGACGTGATATCCGGCTGACTGGCTATCGACCAAAGGGCGAGTGTACTGCTCAGCACTCCGCTCCGTCCTCCTTTATGGCCAGTTGTGAGACCTGGCCATTGAGAGTAGAAGACATGAAAACACTGGCTAGTTGTCTTTGATGATAGGTGTCTGCGTTCTATCTTCCGGGTGAAGTGTTATAATAGGGTGAGCAATATTGAGATTAGGCTTTGGTCGAGTGCTAGGTAGGTGGGAGGGGAAATCAATAGACCAGGCTATGAAGGTGCATTGTCTGAGATGGTTAGGACATGTGATACGTGTGTATGTCTAGTCATCGCCTTCCTCAACGGGCAACGTTAGTTGACATAGGGTCAGGCTGGAAAAGAGCTAGCGGCGCTCAATCCAAAACATGGAACACGTCAATGAAATTCACAACAGTTAGTTTAAGCTACGTAGGAAGTTGTAGACTTCCTGACTGACTGGTTGGGGTCCTAGGGACGGTAAAAACCAATGGAGACTGGAAACAATTGTTGATATGGCTCAAACTCATTGTTCTCAATGGCTGGGTGGTGCAGATGCATCCACTCCTTGTGACTTATGATTACCAATGAAACTATATTATTGTTCGTTATTACAGTTCTTTTGTCTCACACCTCTGTTTACTGTCTCTATTATGCATTTCTTCTACTTTCTTCTGTTGCTTTGTGTGGTACATGGAGAGAGTGTGGTGACTTGAACTGGTGCACATCGGTGCAAAGTTCTATGTCAAAAACAGACAGACAGACAGACTGTCCTTCTTTATGTGGCTGTGAGATATGGTCATTGAAAGTGGAAGATGTGAAGGGGCTAGATATCATTTTTGAACACACAGATGTTTGCGTTTTACTTTCCGCGATGTCAGCAGACATCGTCGAAGCATCTGCACAAGAAGCAGACAGATATGTCAACCTAAGACCGAGCACTTCGGTTCAACTAATCGACGGGAAAATCTAAAATAGAATTAAATAATTAATATGACCCGTTGCAAAAGAGGTGGCTGGCTCTGGTGGCCCAAGTTGGTCTAGTGGATAACGCGCTTTGGCGTTTGAAATTATGGCCACTGGGTTCGAGTCTCCGTGGTGAAGGCATCATCACCACCACTCACTGTGGAATGCAGGTACATCCAGTCGTTACCAACGAGTCCCAAATAGGATGAAATGCACGCGTTATTCTGGATTCCATCACTGTTAGTCACCACCATCCACCAATTAAACATTAATGTTGTTAATGGCACCAATTCACTCACTATTATTGGATGGGTATATATATATATATATATAACTATAGAACCTGATAAAGAGGAGCAGGTTATCGAAAATGTGAATATATTCTTTATTCAGTACCCACATTCTTTTGCGAAAAAACAACAACCTTGGAACTAGAACGCTTCAAAAATCCCCTCTAGTGGATTGTTGTTATCAGTAAAAAAAAAACCTCAAATGCGATAGTAAACGTTTCTTGACAAGGGATGACACAGAGAAGAACTAAAATAACTGATAAATGATGAGAAACTGATAATCCCAAAGACGGATAAATGATCAGGAGTAGGTCCTTCTTGATAATGTGGTGAGAGCAGACCGCTAGCCAATTAGTAGACATTAATTTACGTCAATGTCTATGTCGCTAATATTGGTCGTGAGTAATTATATGAACAAGACTGATTCAACAACCAATCACAGCAGACTTAACGTGGGCAAATATGATTCGCAGATATATGGCTTAGCTTTCTGAGAGAACAGTCACAAGCAGCACGGAATAACCTTGAGCGAGAAGTAACCAATCAAAAGACTGTGATTGTCTGCTTGAATAAGCTATAATAATGTACATGAAATATATATATATATACGTGTTGATCTCCTTAATAAATGATCTGTTGCGTGGTCCTTGTCTTCTGTTGTTACAATACAAGTGACTATATATTAAAAAAAGATGAATGATATATTGAAGGACACACAGAAGTTTCAAAAACTTGAGGAGGAGAAGAAAGATTTCCATAAACAAAATAGAGAATGAGTTAACCAGACGTTTGAAGAAACTAAGGGAGGAGCAGATATTTTCTGAAAGTTTATATGAAGAAATCAGACCACAAGGGGGCACGTATACACCAAGATTGTATGGCCTACTCTAAAGTGCATAAACCAGGGGTACCGTTAAGATCAATACTTGATATGCTAAATTCGCCCTACCATGCTCTCTCTCTCTCTCAAACCTTTGCATGAGAAGATAGTGAAATATAGCGCGTCAAAGATGTATTTAAATTCGTAGACAAAATAAAAGATATTATTATTCAAGGACAAAACCATGATATCTCTGGACATAACATCATTATTCACAAATGTACCGCTAATAGAAACAGTTAATTACAAACAGTCGATAAACATTGGCACCTATACTGAGATCCTAAAAGAATTGATATTAAGATGTACCATGAATGTAAATTTCAAATTTAACGGCATGCTTTACAGACAAGTGGACGAGTGGCGATGGGCTCCCCATTGGGTCCCATTTTGGCTGATTTCTTTCTAAGTAAACTAGAAAATAGACCTTTTAAACAACCTTATCAGTAAGCTCTCATTTTATTGCCGATATATGGATGACACCTTCACATTCCTTGTGATAATGATTAGGATAGGAGTACAATAACTACTGAATTCAATAAAGTACATTCGGCTATGAAATTCACATGCGAAGAGGAATCCCAAAACAGAATTAATTGCCTTCCTGGATGTCCTACTTACAACAAAACCATATGGTAGCATGAAATGAAATTTGCATAGAAAAAGTACATGGACAACAGGACCATATACAGGTTTTCACAGCTTCGTTCCTATCAAGTACCAAAGAAATTTAGTGAAGACCCTTAGCCACAGGGTAAGTTAGAGCTATATGCTCAGAAGAAGTAACTGAAGATGAATTAAGCATTTCATACGACACTTTGATCGAAAATATCTGGTTATCCCGACAAATTTATCAAGAAACACATGACAAAGAAAGTGGCGGAAAAGGACTACTCACTAACTGTGAACAAGAAGCCTCTTTATATATAGGACTACAATTCAAGGGTGATATACCAAATGAGATAATTACGAGAAAATAAGAAGACAATTGCAGCGAAGAAAATTTTCTTTTCGACGAAGTCATCATCTAGGCTGTACATTCGCGTATTTATATCAAATGGATGGGAAAGTTCCAGTATAATATCCTATTACCCAATGTGTATATTCCGTAATTACGAGAAAATTAAGAAAATCAGTTCAAAGAATGCTGGCGGTGAACTACACGTCTTATACTCTACACCACCGATGACGGTGCTACCTCAACTGAAAGATGAAGTACCTAGACTAGCTAGCCACTTCAAATTGTATCTACAAATTCAACTGCGCTTGTGATGGGGCGAGTCATATTGGCCGTTGCTTTAGGAACTTGATTTTTCGTGCTCGCTCGAGAACATCTCCCGCTATGGCTAAGTAAAGGTGTAGTTAAAACCATTAACAAGCAGTTCGATATTAGACCGTTTGGTGCAATCCGACCGGCCACAAAGCCAGCCAACATGGGAGAATCCTTCTCTATCACCATCTACCGGGTGCCTAATAAATTGACGAAATCATCATCGAAGTACTGCATGCTCCGAACAGCAGAGGCTATTACAATCCACGTGAAACAACCAATGCTCTGTGTTCAAAAGAAGCAAGTTCAGCCTTCAGTAGAGACTATAAATTCATGAATTTGTAATATTATCTTTCCTAATTTTTCTGACATTCAGCTTATTTTATGTTGATGCTATTGAACTGTAATTCATTGGTATTGTTATTATTGATTTACACAACATTAATGTTGCTGTTCATAACACTAATTCATTCATTCATTCACTATAATGGATGGATATATAACTGTAGAGCCTGATGATGATGATGAAGGGGTTATCAAAAAGAGTACTCTTTGTTCAGTATCCATTCTTTTGAAAAACATTTTAATGGGCATTTTCAATCAGTTAAAATATAAACAACACTTTAATGGGCATTTTTAATTAGTTAATACAAATTTGTTTTTATTTTTATCTAACCTGTTGATAAGATGGTGGAGAAGGTCTTTGTTGTTGTTGCTGTTGGATTCGTTGTTGTGGTGAAGATAATTTGTTCTGTTCAACAGAATTCATTGATTTTCCTTGTTGATTCGTTGACTCTTGATGCAATGACGACGATGATGATGTCGAGGTTGATAATTGCTGCTGTTGTTGGTGTTGTGTGGTCTCACCTCTGCTACTATGATTGTTATTATTATTATTCGATTGATGTTTCGTAGGAAATAATTGTCTTTCTACCTTGGGATTTTGTAACTGTGTATGCGCTTGCATCATTGGAGTACGACCAACTTGAGACAGAAGAAGAACAGACAAACAGACAACAACAAAAACATTCAGAAATTTTCAAGTAATAATTGGGTTAAAGCTTCAAGTTTAATCACATACTGACTTCAGCTAGGGAGAACCATTGAAAATTCAGCTGTTTCGTCCCCCAAGTTTGGGACTCTTCAGTACGCAACCCCCCACCCTATGAGAGAGGGGGTTCGAAGCCAGGGACTTCCGGCTATAAGGCAAGCGCCAATAGATAGCTCATCTACTGGGGCTTGACCCCATGAATTCCAGCTTCTGTCAGACCATGTTATAGGCGAGTATTTGTCCTCGTAACCGATCTGGTCACGACATCTCACTAGAACATTGGTCAATTCAGGACATTCAGCGGTATTCGAAAAATCCTTCAAAATAATATACAAGATTCGATCAAACCTATCAAAGCGAGTAAAATTAAGACATCTGGGCGCAGCCAAGGCACTAGCCATTCAAAAACTCAAATCCACGCTATGTATCCAAAAGAAATACGTCCAACCCTTGTCCCTGCTATGGCCATCATAACACAGGTAATTCTTTTAATAGTGACTATCCCATTGACTTTCTTATCCAAATTTCCAGTTTATTCATGCTATTTACTACACTACCATATTTTCATATCCGAACTTCCTGTCTATTTTGTCATTTTATTATTTTTACATTTCTAACCCCTAATTGCACAACAACATGTCAATCTTCTCAATAATTATGATGCTACCTTGTTTGGGAGTTTTATCCGTCCCCCATCCCTATGTTTACTATGGCATTTGAATTCCTGACTGTAATTTTATTAATTTTACCCTTGACCGGGAATTATTCTGGAACTTTCTTCTCACCCACCAATTTATTACAAGTTATCACGAATGTACAGTCTAGTTGACGGTGACTTCGTCGAAAAAGAAAATTTTCTTCCTCACTGCAACCACCTTTTTATTCTTCCCTGTAATCAAATCTTAAAAACAATAACTGTTTGTTAGAGAGAGAGAGGTGTACCTGAGAAATTTGTTAACATCTTGAAAGCGCTATACAGAAACACCTCAGGTAGAGTGAGGGCATACAACCAACTATCATCATTGTTCCCAACCAATAGTGGGGTTAGACAGGGTTGCCCAATCTCTCCATTTCTCTTTAACTTTGCCATAGATGACATTTTGGAGTCAGCTATGAAGGATGTGCGTGAAGGTGGTGTAGATCTGCCTCCTGGAGAAAGGCTTTTCAACTTCGAGTATGCAGACGATATCGTCTTACTGTGCGATAGTATTATACAGGCTGCCCAAATCGCACTTAATCAGTTGGCGATCAGTATCTGTAAGTATGGGGTATGTGCTTTGCGCCGTCTAAGTGCAAAGTACTGTTACAAGATTGGCTGGAGCCTGTACCTGCACTCACTCTTCCGGGTGAGTCGCTTGAAGTTGTTGATAAGTTTGTGTATCTGGGTAGTTGTGCGAGTGCTGGCCGAGGGGTGATGGATGAGATTTCCAACCGTATAATGAAGGCTAGGGTGGCATACATCAACTTGAGCCACCTCTGGTGCCGTCGTGACGTTAGCCTGGCTGCCAAAAGTCGAGTATACAATGCTTCGGTGCGGGCTGTCTTGCTCTATGCCTGTGAAACCTGGCCTCTCCGATTAGACTGAGGATGTTCGGCGGCGACTCTGCGTGTTTGATCACCGCTGTCTCCGCAGGATTGCTTGCGTTCGATGGATGGGATCATCGTGTGAGTAATTCTGAAGTTCGGCGGTGTGTGTTTGAACACAGTGGAGATCACCATTCATTGAGTGTCGTCATCTGGAAACACTGGCTCCGGTGGCTTGGACATGTTCTACGAATTTCATCCCAGAGGAGGCTTCCGGAGGTTATGAAAATAACCAACCAACCAACCAACAACAACAACAACAGCAGAAACATCCGGCGCCAATCACCATCAACGGGAGGGATTTGAAAGAGGTTACTTCATTCACTTCATTATCTAGGTAGCATTGTCTCAACTACAGGAACGGAGGAACGGACGAGGATGTCATATCGAGCGAGAATCTGGAAGACAGGCGAGAAACACATTCATCAAACTGAAAACAATCTGGAAATCTTCGTCATTTATTCACGTCATCATCAACAACAAAATTCGGTCGGGTTCAATTCAATACAAATAGCGTCAAGTCAGTCAGTTCTTCTATACGGATCAGACAGAAACTTGGCGGGTGGGTCACAAAGAATATTTCCAACAGCCTGAAGCATGCAGACCTTTATCAACAACAACAACAACAACTGTCTTCGCTGGATCTATACTGAAGATCAATCAGATGGTCGGGCCGGAGAGAATCACCAACTATTGGAAACTATGGGAACAAACAAAACAAAACAGGAACCAACCACCAACCAACAAATATGCAGGAGAAAGTGGACAGAAGAGTGGATTGGACACTACTCGCTGAGGAGGCTGGGTCGCTGAGTGACATCGCGTGCACGTCAGGTCATTGCTCGAATGGAACCAAGCCGAAAGGGAAGTGGCGAGTGGGACGTCAGTGCAAGGCTGGGTGACATGGAGGAGATCGTGTGAAGAGTTGAGGAGTTGACACAATATGGACTAACTAACATGGATGGATGCAGGTGGAAAGTACGGCAGAAGGAAGACAGAAGAGTGGCAAGTGGAGACGTGCAGTTCAAGCCCTATGTTCCACTAGGAACTCAAGGGAACAATAATAATAATAATATTGAACTGTAATCCAATGATATTGCTATTATTATTGATTCGATGTTATTTGCACAACATTAATGTTGCTGTTCATAACACTAATTCATTCACTATAATGGATGGATATATAACTGTAGAGCCTGATGATGATGATGAAGGCGTTATCGAAAAGAGTATTCTTTGTTCAGTATTCATTCTTTTGAAAAACATTTTAATGGGCATTTTTAATCATGAGATAAATACATTAGGCAACTTGATGATGAACTTACCTGATGGTTGTTTGTTATTACTACTACTACCACTTGTATTAGGAGGGTTAGGTGATAAATTATGATTATTATTATTATGACGTGTAGTTGTCATAATTACATCGTGTTTCAAAGAGGAGGAGGAGGATAATGCCGGTTGAGTTTGTTGTTGTTGTTGCTGCTGCTGTTGTGTAGAAGTGGTTTCACCTTGCGGTTGTCTTAAAGCTAAGGCCAACTCATACGGAGGTGGTGGACGAGTTGGTTTGGCGTTTAAATCTGCACAGAAATAAAGGAGAAAGAAGAAAAAAGACAGAGAATGAATTTGGAACGATACATGATGAAATAATATACGTGAAACAAGAGACGGCTGCCCTCGAAAACCTCCATCAATATACTCTGATTGAACGATTTGCTAGTAAAGTTACTAACTAGTGTTGTTATATGTGGCGTAATTCTTTGTTTGCTGCAGACTGACTGAATTCTCACAACTCAGTCAAAGTTTGCAATGTGGCTAGTGTATACCACCCCCCCCTGTGCACTAAGTGGACTGGATCATCATCACTGCAGGAAGTCCCCCGCCTGATCTAGGCTTTGTGCTAGTTGGTACTCACTCACCAGTCAGCAGCAACTTTGAAGGAACTACTCATGTCCCATGTCTGAGATTGGCAACTGTGTCACCACCACCCACTGCTGCAGTCAGAGACAGAGAGAGATAAATTATTCTAAACTGGTCACTCATTTCATTTGCAAGAAAAACCGTCTTTTTCATGAAATTAGAATTCAATTGGATGATCAGGCTTCAGGAAGGCTCGAAACTCGTCATGTAGAATGTTTCTTGCAGCAAAACTTCAAATGAACTTCGGCTGAAGAGTTCTACCGGAATTCAATGAGGACACTTTTTCATTAAATCATAAAAGAGGCTAAATTAGAAGAATATAAGATAACACTAAATAAAAGCATTTTCAATATAGAAAAAATCTTCATTTAGACATTTAGAAAACAGAAAGATTGAGCCAGCGAAGAAATATTTACTTTTCGATTAGATCCCCCCTCATCTCACTCTGGCATTTTTATTACAATACCCAACAGTTTATCAATCATCAAGTGGCTGGCACTGATATGTTTGTTAACAAGAATTAGTCAGTGTCAAAATGTCAATGCGACGGGTAATAATTAACGAAGAAAATCCATACACATAATTGAAAGGTAGAAATGGTTAGAATAAATTAATTTTACAAGGATAACACGTAAATTAAAGATGAAGTGGTCAAAATAACTAAAAATAAAATAAATAATTTAGACAATTATAATTTTTATAGGTTCAGGGGGAGGGGGGCGACGTAGTCCTGTTTATGCATTCTTGTGACGATGGCCACGGTAGGGAAGGTGGCTGTACGAATTTTTTCTGTACACATAGGCTTGGCTTCTTCAGGTGAATTCCGGTTGCTTCAGCTGTCTGTAGAAGACGAACTCGCAGAGCAAAATTAAGATAAGTCGGAATGCAAAGCAATCGGAATTCACCTGAAGAAGCCAAGCCTATGTGTACAGAAAAAATTTGTACAGCCACCTTCCCTACCGTGGTCATCGTCACAAGAATGCATAAACAGGACTACGTCACCACCCTCCCCCTGAACCTATAAAAATTATAATTGTCTAAATTATTTATTTTATTTTTAGTTATTTTGACCACTTCATCTTTAATTTACGTGTTATCCTTGTAAAATTAATTTATTCTAACCATTTCTACCTTTCAATTATGTGTATGGATTTTCTTCGTTAATTATTACCCGTCGCATTGACATTTTGACACTGACTAATTCTTGTTAACAAACATATCAGTGCCAGCCACTCGATGATTGATAAACTGTTGTGTATTGTGATAAAAATGCCAGAGTGAGATGAGGGGGGATCTAATTGAAAAGTAAATATTTCTTCGCTGGCTCAATCTTTCTGTTTTCTAAAAGCATTTTCAAGAGGCTATTGAAGGACTTTTATCAACAACCACCTTCGCTCAACACTGGAAATTAGACTGACTGACTGACTGGTTTCAACATGGAAATTTGCACAGAAGTGCAGCAGTTCAAATTCCCACTCTCCCTCCGTGTATTACACAAAGAAAGAGAACATGGTAAAGACAGAGAGGTTCAAAGGGAGAGATGATAAACAGAAATATGAGGTTAAAAGTATAGTACTATGGAAGAGCACGAGAATTTTATTGGATATGATGAGCTACAAAGAGTAGTGAATGCATCTGCACCAGCCATCAATGAAAACGATTTCAAACCATACTGCCGATTGTCATTAGCCATCGGTTCCTACCATTCAGAAGACCCCAACTAGACAGCTGTCTACGCCTCCCTACGTGGCGGCTGGCTTAAACTAACTATTATGAATTTCATTGACTGATGAAGCCATAGCTTAGTTTGACCACCACTCGCTAACTCTTTTCCAACCTGATCCACTACTCTATGTCAGTCAGATAACATTTCCCGTCGTTGAAGAAGGCTATGGTTAAGAAGGCATGCGTAACACATGTCCTAACCACCTCAATCGGTGTAAATTCACAACTTCCTCAATTGCTTTCCCCTCCTTACCTAGCACTCGATAGAAGTCTAACCTCAATATTACTCACCCTATTATGCCAGTTAACACGAAAGATAGAACGCAGACACCTATGATCAAGGACAGCTTAACCAGGTTTTCATGTATTCTACTTTCAGTGGCCATGTCTCACAGAGATAACAGAGGATAGAGAGAAATTCTAAGCAGTGTACACAGAGATGGCGTAAGCTGGGTATCAGACAGCAGAGAGCAAACAGATTATCAAATAAGGAGCTGTGGGAATCAACCACCAAAGAGGCTATTCCCCAAGAAATACATCGAAGAAAGTGGATATAGACCGGGTACACTATGAGGCAACTGTTGTATGACATCACACACATCAGACATACTCTCGAGTAGAAATCCGAACGGGGAACACAAAGAGTTGAGCGTCACATCGAGGATGAAATGGAGGAGGACACAAAAGGCTTATGGGCAGTCGTGGTGCAGCCGCCAACTAAAGAGATCTTCAGAGAACAGGATGTGAAATGGAGATGTGTAAGTAACGTCCCATATACCATTCCAAACCCAAGAAAATAATAACAATAATAATAATAAAAAAACTTACAATGTGGATTGATTTTTTGTACAGTAGACTGTTTGAAATGATACGGGATAGATATGATATGACCACCACCACCACCACCACCAAGAGGATGTGTATTCGCAGTTGGATAAAGGTAATTTTCATCAGAATTGAGTGAATTTTGTTGTTGTTGTTGTGTTTGTCTCTGCTGTTGTTGTTGTTGTTGTAGTAATGACTGTTCCCTTGATGATCGAGTTGACAACATACCAACTTGTTGTTGTTGTTGCTGTTGTTGTTGGTGGTGCTGGTGATGTTGAGTCGTCGTATACGGTCCACCAGATGAATTATTGGCATGCCAATAGGCACAGGAAGACATTTGTTGTTGTTGTTGTTGCTGTTGCTGTTGTGTACATGATGATGAGGAATTCGGATTTGGCGTGGGACGAGGTCCAATATAATTTGATCGAGATTGAAGGTTCTGTTGGGCCTGCTGCTGTTGTTGTTGTTTTTGTTGTTGCTGCTGTTGATTTAACAGAAGACAGAATAAGATGTATAAAATATACAACAAATATTTAATTAATATAAACTAAAGTATTATAAACCATGTCAAAGATGAAGGGGATGTTCATCGAAAGCATTCGTGAGGGCAGCGAAATGGTTAACCAGCTTGGTGGGATCTCGCAATCTATAGGTCCGCAGATCCGATCCTCTTTACGAGGGGTCATGCATGCGCACTGTGCTGAAGAGTCCCAAAACAGGACGAAACAGTTAGTTAGCTAGCTATCTAGTGCTCCCTGTTTCCCAGTGATCTATCTCTAGCTGATGTTAGTTCATGATGAAAATCTAACAATCTAAATTTCATTCCATTGAGTTCCGTGGGGAACTTACGAGACTTCGTGGAAGAATTCCAATTGACGTCTGACAACTGTTATAGTATTTCTTGAATTCATTTCAATATTTCATCACATACCGGGCTACGACAATGTTTGACTATGAAAGAAGTTTGATTGCATGGAAGATTTCATCATGAGCTGACATCATTTAGAGAACCAGTGGAAAACCACCTGGGAGTACTGGACAGCCAGCTGTTTCGTTCTAGTTTGGGACTCTTCATCAGTGCGCACCCACACTGCGGGGTTAGAACCCAAAAAGTTCTGGTCACAAGGCGAGCGAGCTCGTAGACCATTGAACTACTGGGTCCCGATCCAATGGTCCTTGAATTCTAACTTCTGCCAATTCACGACATAGCGCGACCATTTTGCAATGTATTCTACGATGAGTTACTCCCTCATCTTCAACCCTACTGGTCACGGCTTCCCACTAATGAAAGTGTTGAAATTGCACATTATGCCTACGATTTCAACACAGAACTTTGCGCAGAAGTTCAATAGTAGTTCAACTTGCCAAATTCCCTGTAACACTAAAAGGAAGACAATAGGGAGATTCGAAAGAAAGATAATAAGCAGAAGGATATGCGAGTGAGGGGTACGGTAGATTACAAAGAGTGGATGCAACTGCGCCAACCATTGAGAAGAATGATGAGTTTGAGCGATATCCCCGATTGCATCCATCCATTAGTTCTTAGCATCTTAAGGACTCCAACCAGATAGTAGTCAACGCTTCCTTACGTCTGTCTGTCTGTTTTCGACATAGAACTTTGCATCAATAAGCACCAGTTCAAGTCGCCACACTCCCTCCGTGTACCACACAAATGAAGAGAAGAAAGTAGAAGAAATGCATAATAGTGACAGTAAATAAAGGTGTGAGACAAAGGGTATTATAAGTTACAAGGAGTGGATGCATCTGCACCACCCAGCCATTGAGAACGATGAGTTTGAGCCATATCAACAATTGTTTCCAGTCTCCATTGGTTTTTACCGTCCCTAGGACCCCAACCAGTCATTCAGAAAGTCTACACCTTCCTACATAGCTTAAACTAACTGTTGTGGATTTCATTTACCAATGAGGCCATGTTTTGGTTTGACCACCTCTAGCTCTTTTCCAGCCTGACTCTATGTCAGCTAAAATCGTCCATCAAGGAAGGCAATCGATGGCTAGGCCAGATATGCGTAACACACGTCCTAACCATCTCAGTCAATGTAGCTTCACAGCCTCATCGATTGATTTCCCCTCCCACCTACCTAGCACTCGACCGATTCCTAACCTCCATATTGCTCACCTTATTATACCACTTCACCCGGAAGATAGAACGCAGACACCTATGATCGAAGACAGCTGGCTAAGCGTTTCATGTCTTCCAATCTCAACGGCCAGGTCTCACAGCTAGTCAGTCATAAAGGAGGACGGAGCGAACTGCTGAGCAGTACGTGGCTTAAACTGACTGTTAAACCTTCCATGGACTGATGCCATGTTTTTGTTTGACCACCACAACTAGCTCTATTCTAACCTAAATCTATATCAGCTAACACTAATCGTCGAGGAAGGCAATTGCTAGGCATGTGTAACACATGTCGTAGCCATATCAATCGATGTAGTTTTACAACCTCATAGATTGAATTTTTCTTGTTACCTAACACTCAAGGTCCAACCACCCTCTTATACAATCTGACATGAGAGAGGAAACACAGACATCTATGATCCAAGACAACTAGCCAGGCTATTTTCAGGTATTCCACTTTCAATGGCCATGTCTCACTCATAGACGTATAAGAGGGCTGAGAGAACTGCTGAGTAGTCCACATGTCCTTTTTTCGATAACCAGCCGGATATCATATAGACAACACAGTTAATGCTGGTTGGAAAATCCAATACGAGCCTTATATACATATCCATGCTGATATTCGATCAAAAATCAGTATATTGGGGAAGGGGGTGATACAACTTTCCACGTAAGTGTGAAAGTGGTCAACGCGTTCTACCCCCTTCACTTCCTATCTTCAAGCTAGGATCCCGTGTAAGCCATCGATGTAGAACCATCTTACACATTTGACAGGGGTCAACGTAAGTTAATCAGTGGGAAATTCAACGGAGGTTGAAGACAACCAGTCAGTATTATGAATATGTGGTTTCAAGTTGAGTATGCTTCAGTGTATCCACTGCCATTCCATCTCGCATCTCGTTTGCAATCTGGGCAGATTTGCCAGTCACATATATATGGTGCGGACGTTCCATGTCCCCACACAGCCTTTTTTTGTCACAAAGGAGACTCATCGTACTGAAGTTTCTGTAGTAGCTGGGGTTGCTAGCCTCACGCCTGAGAGGGGGGTGGTTGTTACGTGGATATACATAGTTTACAGAGGAGCGACTTTTTGGGTTACTTGCCTTATAATCAGGGAAACAAGGGATAAAGCAATCAGGACAACACCAGCTAAAGGAAAACAGGAAGGGCAGCGATAATAACAACAACAAAGAAACCCATAGCAGTGCTATCACTGAAAAATACAGTTAACAAAAATGATATCAAGACCGTAGACTTTGATGTGGTTGTGTTCTATGAGCTGGATAGTTAATTTGCGAAGCTTTCATCGTCCTACTAGGCGACATCTTCAGCGCATACTTCAATTTCAATTGAAGTGAGCTTTTAGATTTCTCAACGAATTTGCTAGTCATTTCTCCTAGTGGGTGACCTTGGACGTGATTGGTTGTTTTTGTGTGTTTTCACGCCCTTCTTGGCTACTTGTATTGAAACTGATTGTTTCTTTGACTTGAACTTTGACCTTTTGTGTGTGAGGTTTCTATCTTATCGACTGGTAAATTTAGTCTGTCTCGATGTGTCTATTGATTGATGATTCACTGGAATCCGAGGCTTCTAAAAATTCTCTGGCTAGCATTCTCGATGTGTTTTTTTATCTAATATTTGAACGTTGTCGCAGCGAAAGCGCTGCATACAGACAACCATGGACATCAATTCATCTGGGACTACATAGACAAAATTTACCAATCGATTAGAAGGAAATCTCATACACAATGGGTCAAACTTCACATCAAAGAAACAGTCAGTACCAATACAAGTAGCCTAGAAAGTGTGAAAACACACGAAAACAATCAATCACGTTCAAAGTGGTCACCAAAATAGATGACTTATAAACTCGTGGAGAAATCTAAAAGCTAACTTCATCAAATTGAAGTGTATGCGCTGAAGATGTTGCCTAGTAGGGCAATGAAACTTCCTGGCCAGAAACATCTGAGAAATGACAGTTTTATGTGACTGCAAGAACTGGCGAGAAATCATGCTCCTGTCGACGCCAAGTAAAATTCTGAGTCACATCATCCTGGAGAGAATAAAGGATGCACTGGGTACAGAACTTCGCTACCCACCGGAACAAGCTGAATTCAGGAAAGTCAGGCAAATCATATTCTGACCAAATTGCAACTCTACGCATCATCATCATCACAGAACAAAGCATGGAATGGAAAGCAATCAAACCTCTACCTCAACTTTATAGACTTTTAGAAGGCCTTCGACAGACAGCGTTGACCGCGAAGTAATTTGGAAACTACTCAAGTACTACTACGGCGTACCCCACCCCAAAATATTCATCAACCTTATTCAACAGCTGTACGACAACAGCACATGTCAAGCGATCCACAAGCGAAATCTCAATGAGGCGTTTGGAGTAAACACAGGAGTAAGACAAGGGTGCTTATTATCACTCACGATGATATTCCTAATTGTGGTGCACTGACTGGATTATGCGTCAGACAGTGGGAAACGAGAAACAGATAGGGATATCCTGAACCAACGAAAAGAACCTAGAAGACCTGGATTTCGCCAGTGGATGATTTATGTTTGGTGTCACTGTTACAAAATCGAAGACTTACAAGCGAAAACCGACCGACAAACTGGTCGAAGAAGCAGCCGGTAAAGACAGGACTCCAAGTGAACATAGACAAGACAGAGGTTATCTAAATAACCAACCAACAACAACAGCAGAAACATCCAGCGCCAATCACCATCAACGGGAGAGATTTGAAAGAGGTTACTTCATTCACTTCACTATCTAGGGAGCATTGTCTCAACTACAGGAACGGAGGAACGGACGAGGATGTCATATCGAGCGAGAATCGGGAAGGCAGGCGAGAAACACATTCATCAAACTGAAAACAATCTGGAAATCTTCGTCATTTATTCACGTCATCATCAACAACAAAATTCGGTCGGGTTCAATTCAATACAAATAGCGTCAAGTCAGTCAGTTCTTCTATACGGATCAGACAGAAACTTGGCGGGTGGGTCACAAAGAATATTTCCAACAGCCTGAAGCATGCAGACCTTTATCAACAACAACAACAACAACTGTCTTCGCTGGATCTATACTGAAGATCAATCAGATGGTCGGGCCGGAGAGAATCACCAACTATTGGAAACTATGGGAACAAACAAAACAAAACAGGAACCAACCACCAACCAACAAATATGCAGGAGAAAGTGGACAGAAGAGTGGATTGGACACTACTCGCTGAGGAGGCTGGGTCGCTGAGTGACATCGCGTGCACGTCAGGTCATTGCTCGAATGGAACCAAGCCGAAAGGGAAGCGGCGAGTGGGACGTCAGTG